TAAAATTGTTTAAAAACCCACTCCTGAACATATATCTGGAGAAAACCATAATTTGAGAAGATACATGCAGGGGAGTTCCCTGGCAGCCTAGTTGTTAGGATTCCTGCTGTGGCAAGTGTTCAATTCCTGGTGGGGGAAGTGAGATCACGAAAGCCGAGGAAGGCAGGAAGAAAGGAAGGAAGGAAGGAAGGGAGGGAGGGAGGGAGGGAGGGAGGAAGGAAGAAAAGATACATGTATGCATGCACCCCAATGTTCACTGCAGCACTGTTTACAATGGCCAAGACATGGAAGCAACCTAAATGTTCACAACAGAGGAATGGATACAGAAAATGTGGTAAATATATAATGGAATATTACTCAGCCATAAAAAAGAACAAAATAATGCCATTTACAGCAATATGGATGGACCCAGAGATTATCATACTAAGTGAAGTCAGACAGAGAAAGACAAATATCATATGATATCACTGAAATGTGGAATCTAAAAAGATGATACAAATGAACTTATTTACAAAACAGAAACAGACTTTGAAAACAAACTTACGGTTACCAAAGGGGAAAGGTGGGGGCGGGGAGAGAGGGATAAATTAGGAGTTTGGGATTAACATATACACACTATTATATTTAAAATAGATAACCAACAAGGCCCTATTATATAGCACAGGGAACTCTACTCAATATTCTATAATAATCTATATGGGAAAAGAATCTGAAAAAGAATGGATACATGTGTATGTATAACTCAGCCACTTCGCTGTACAACTGAAACTAACACAACATTGCTAATCAACTATACCCCAATATAAAATAAAAATTAAAGGGACTTCCCTGGTGGCACAGTGGTTAAGACTACATTCTCCCAATGCAGGGGGTCTGGGTTCAATCTCTGGTCAGGGAACTAGATCCCACATGCATGCTGCAATTAAGAGTTTGCATGCCACAACTAAGGAGCCCACATGCTGCAGCTAAGAAGCCCATGGCTGCAACTAAGGAGTCCCTGAGTTGCAACTAGGGAGCCCGCCTGCCACAACTAAGGAGCCACATACCGCAATTAAGGAGCTGGTGAGCCACAACTAAGGAGGCTGCCTGCCATGACTAAGACCCAGCACAACCAAATAAATATTAAAAATAAAATAAAAATAAAAATTTAAAATTGTTTTAAAAAAGAGAAAACTAGTCCAAAATGGAGTCACTTGAACTGAGCTTCACTCACCAAACCAAGACTTAACACCTAACTTAATTACAGTTTCAGCCTCCCCTAGAAACCGAATCTTAAATCAGTCAATCTGGAATTAACCTGGTCAGCACTAGTGAGGTAATCTGCCTGATAGACCCCTGCCTGCTGTCGCCTAAAGAAAGGTAACCTTACCACAAACAATAAGCTCTTTTATAGTATAACTTTCTCATAGCTCTTCAGAGTTCCTTTCTATTCGTTAGATGGGATGCTGCCCAATTCATGAATTACTGAATTAAGCCAATAAGATCTTTAAAATTTACTTGGCTGAATTCTGTTTTTTAACAAAACCAAATGGGACTACTTTGATGTTACCTAAGCAAACACCAGAGAGCTTTATAATTTCAGATCTCTCTGCCTGAATTTCTTTGTTCTCAAATAGCCACATGGCTTGCTGCACAATCCTTTCAAGTTACCAGCCTAATGTCTTATTAGAGTCCTTTCATGACAACCCTATTTAAAATAATAATAATAATAATAACTCTCTGACCTTTGTCTTAATTTTCTGTAGTACATACTGCAAAATGTACTCTTTCTAATGTACAATTCAGCATCTTTTGAGAGCATATATAACATAAATACATCACTAAAATATACAGAACTTGGGAATTCCCTGGTGGTCCAATGGTTAGGACTCAGCTCTTTCATGGTTGTGGCCCAGGTTCAATCCCTGGTCGGGGAACTAAGATCCTGCAAGCTGCAGCCAAAAAAATAAAAAGCAACAAGGGAAAAGCAACAAATAACATACAAGGGAATCCACATAAGGTTATCAGCTGATTTTCCAGCAGACTCTGCAGGCAAGAAAAGGGAAAAACCTACAACCAAGAATATTCTACCCAGCAAGCCTCTCGTTCAGATTCAACGGAGAAGTCAAAAGCTTTACAGACAAGCAAAAGCTAAGAGAATTCAGCACCACCAAACACAGTTTTACAACAAATGCTAAAGGAACTTCTCTAGAAGAAAAGGCCAGGACTAGAAACAAGAAAATTACAAATGGGAAAGCTCACCGGTAAAGGTAAACATACAGTCAAAGTAGGAAATCATCCACACACAAATATGATATCAAAACCAGCAATCATGAGAAGCAGAAAGTACAAATGCAGGATATTGGAAATGCATTTGACATTAAGAGACCAGCAACTTAAAACAATATATATATATATAGACTGCTATATCAAAACCTCATGGTAACAGCAAAACAAACTTCCATGTACAAAATAAGTAAGTCACAAGGATGTAGTGTACAGAGTAGGGAACATAGTCAATAATATTGTAATAACTTTGAATGGTGACAGCAACAAGACTTATCATTGTCATCATTTTGTAATGTACAAAAATATCTAATTACTATGCTGTACAACTGAAACTAATAGAAGTCAATTATATAATACTTCAGGGAAAAAAACCCACTTGGATTCATCTCTGAATCCTCTGTTTCACTCTCTCACTATTATAAAATTGAATGTTTATGTCCCCCCAAAATTCATAGTTGACACAAAACCTCCCAATCTCATGGTATTAGGAGCCGGAGACTTTGGGAGGAAATTAGGATTAGATGAGGTCATAAAGGCAGGCCCCACGTGAATGGAATTAGCACCCTTATAAATGTCACGAGAGAGCTTGCTCCTCTCTCTGTTCTCCACCATGTAAGGACACAGTGAGAAGATGGTGTCTATGAACCAGGAAGCAGGCCCTCATCTGAACCTGACCATAAAGGCATCCTGATCTTGGACTTCTAGCCTCCAAAACTGTGTGAAATAAACTCCTGGTGTTTATATGTCATCTAGCTTACGGTATTTTGTTATAGCAACCCAAGCAGAACAAGACACTTTCCTTCCACATTAAGAAATCTAGTTAATCCTTAATAAAAACACATTCAGAATCCAGCCACTTCTAAGCTACCACTCTGTTCCATGAACCCTCAAGTGGCCTAATATAATAGCCTACACCCTGGTTTTCCTTCCTCTTCCCTCAGTCTCACAATCTGTTCTCCACTATGCAGCCATATGCAGCCTGTTAAGACCTAGGTAAGGGACTTCCCTGGTGGCGCAGTTGTTAAGAATCCCCCTGCCAAAAAAAAAAAAAAAAAAAAGAATCCCCCTGCCAATGCAGGGGACATGGGTTCGAGCCCTGGTCCGGGAAGAGCCCACATGCTGCAGAGCAACTAAACCCCGTGAGCCACAACTACTGAGCCTGCGCTCTAGAGCCCACGAGCCACAACTACTGAGCCCACGTGCCTAGTCCCCATGCTCCGCAAAAAAGAGAAGCCACCGCAATGAGAAGCCTGCACACCACAATGAAGAGTAAACACCGCTCGCCACAACCAGAGAAAGCCCGCACGTAGCAATGAAGACCCAATGCAGCCAAAAATAAATAAATGAATAAATTTATTTTTAAAAAACCTAGGTAAGATCATTCCCCTCCTCTGATCCAAACTTCCTATCACCTCCAGAATAGATACTCAACTTCTTTTATTTTTTTTAAAATTAATTAATTAATTAATTTGTTTTTGGCTGTGTTGGGTCTTCGTTTCTGTGCAAGGGCTTTCTCCAGTTACGGCGAACGGGGGCCACTCTTCATCGCAGTGCGCAGGCCTCTCACTGTTGCAGCCTCTTCTGTTGCAGAGCACAGGCTCCAGACGCGCAGGCTAAGTAGTTGTGGCTCACAGGCCTAGTTGCTCCGCGGCATGTGGGATCTTCCCAGACCAGGGCTCGAACCCTTGTCCCCTGCATTGGCAGGCAGATTCCCAACCACTGCTCCACCAGGGAAGCCCGATACTCAACTTCTTAGGCAGCCATTCCAGTCCTGAATCTTGTCTTCCTGCTCCTTCTTCCCACCTGATGGAAAGGAGATCTTAATGATCTCAACTCAGCTCTACCTCTAAACATTTTTACATCCTGGTATTGAGATAACCTTTCCACATCCGTTTACATTCGGTGCCAGAAATGTTAATACCTCCATATAATCCTTCGTAGACTCGGGATCCTGAGCTTGGGTCCTTAACGAATACCACGACACCACAATACAGAGAATATATGGGTGGGGGTAGGGATCAGTAAGGGACTGGGACACTCTACACGTACCGGTATAGGCCCCATAAGCGCTTCTACAGCCATGTTTTAAGAGACAGATTACAGATGAATGAATATAACCATGTCAGGTTTCAGTGGGTTCAGGGCCCTGTGTGCCCACGCCTGGCCCTTGAGCCTGGTGAACTAGGGCTGGATACCTAACCTCCGTGCCTCAGTGTCTCACCTTACTAGCTCTGTGTGCTTGAACGAAGATCCAACCTCCTGGTGCCCTAATACTTCATCCTCCTCCTTCAGTCTGTTCCTCCGTTGAACAGCCTTTGGGAAACTTTTAAAATCCTAATGTAGTCTGTGTCCCCCCTTGGTTTAAAATTTTCCGCAGCGATCAGCGTTCTGAGAACATAGGCAGAGGCCTCAGCCTGCTATTCCAGGCGCGACTCCGCCTCAAACTTTGTTCCTCGCCAGGCACAACGGAGCCCAGGTTTTCCGAATCCTCACGGCTCAATCGCAACTCCAAGCCTTTGTACATGCCGGTTCCTGTGCCTGTAACCCTCTCCCATATCTAATCACACCCCCGATAGTAAAATTAAACAGGAAAGCTGAGGTGTTGACCACTGTCAGAAACAGTCCATATACTAGCGCCTCACCGTCCTGGACACCGGGGCCTGGGCTGCAGGGACGAGAGCATTTGGGGCTTTAGTGTCTGGTGGGGTGAGGGCCCGAGGACGAGCGTTTACCTGAGGCGGGTCCCTCTGAGCGGCCGCAGCCATCCAGGCCTGTGGGCGGAGCGGGGCCAGGAACGGGCCGGCGGTTCTTAAACCGGCCCTGGTGCGGATCATCTCGGGCGGCGCCGCGGCCGAGCCTCAGACTCGCCTTTGTGCAGCGGGAACAACGACTGCCCCGTCACTTTCTCGGTCCTGTCCCGTCAGCCCCACTAAACGCTCCAGAACTTCTGTCCGTATGAACACACCCGAGCAGCCAAAATGACCGCCCGGAGGAGGACGCCGGAAGTCCCGGCCCACGCTAGGCAACCCTTACGGAAACGCCTCTGTTCTGAGCCTTCATTGGCTCAACGAGGCGGCTGGTCGACGCAGAGCATTCTGGGTAATGTAGTTCCCACACTTGGGGTAACCTGCGCGTGGACTTAGACCCCTGAGGGGCTCTGGGAAATGGAGTCAGCGGACCAAAGGACTTAGAAAGCGCTTGTCCTTTTTTTAAAAAAAAAAATTTATTTATTTATTTTTATTTTTGGCTGCTTTGGGTCTTCCTTTGGGTGCGCGGGCTTCTCATTGCGGTGGCTTCTCTTGCTGCCGAGCACGGGCTCTAGAGTGCAGGTTCAATAGTTGTGGTGCATGGGCTTAGTAGCTCCGCAGCATGTGGGATCTTCCCAGACCAGGGATCGATCCCATGGTCCCTGCATTGGCAGGTGGATTCTTAACCACTGTGCCACCAGGGAAGACCCAGGGACTTGTCCATTCTTAAGGGGTAGAACTCAGGGTTTCTGGGGGATGTTGTGTTGCCTGCAGACGTTCAGCCAAGGTTGATGTATTAGTTCAGACCCTGTGAACTTCATCATGCTCCCTGAGACTAAACATATTGTTACAGAAGCTCCCACAGGACAGAGATCCAAATGCACATATCATTCCTAGTCATTCAGACACAAAATATGTCCACTGGTAGCAGAAGCTAATAAACATTTCATGGGGGATGGGCAAAATAGGGGTATGGGATTAAGAGACACAAACTGCTATTGCTACCAAACCAAATTTGGGCTGTTCACCTGATGCATAGCAAAGCCAATCCATTGACACTCGGTTGTGGTGAAGGAAAGTACAGGGCTTATTGCAGGCACCAGCAAGGAGAACAGGCAGCTCATGCTCAAAAGACCTGAACTCCCCAATGGCTTTCAAAGAAGGGTTTTTAAAGACAGTGTGAGGAGGGAGGGTGGCAGGATGTGTGATCAGCTTGTGCACAATTCTCTGGTTGATGATGAGGTAATGGTGATATTTTCGGAATCTCAATTATCAGTTTTCTGGCTCCAACTGGTCTGGAGTCTATGTGCTGGCTGTCAGCACGCAGTTAACTTCTTCCACCTGGTGGTGGTTTTAGTTTCTGCAAAACAATTCAAGGATATGGCTCAAGATATTATCTATAGCCCTTGAGGAGGAACTAAAGGTCCTTGGCTTTGTTTTATGGCTAAACTATTATTATTTTGTCTTGCTTGACTGTTTCCTTTGTTTCTGCATTTTCTCACTTCTCTGATTTTGCTTTTTGGAATTCGGGAAAGGCTTAGGAGGCTAAAACTTTTCTATTAACAAGAGTCAGGTTGGGAATTCCTTGGCAGTCAAGGGATTAGGACTCCACGCTCTCACTGCTGAGGACCCAGGTCCAATCCCTGGTCGGGGGAACTAAGATCCCACAAGCTGTGCAGCAAGACTGGAGGAGGGGTGGGGGGGAAAGTCAGGAGACATGGGGATTGGGGGTGTCTGCCCCAGGGAAGGCCCAACAGGGTCCTGCTCAGTTTCACTATGTATAAAATAGATAAGCAACGAGGATATATTGTATAGCACAGGGAAGTATAGCCACTGTTTTTAATAACTTTAAATGGAGTATAATCTATAAAAATATATATATTTTTAATTTTAATTATTTATTTTTGGCTGCATTGGGTCTTTGTTGCTGCGTGAAGGCTTTCTCTAGTTGCGGAGAGTGGGGACTACTCTTCATTGCGGTGCGCCGGCTTCTCATTGCAGTGGCTTCTCTTATTACAGAGCACGGGTTCTAGGCGCACGGGCTTCATTAGTTGTGGCTCGCGGGCTCTAACGTGCAGGCTCAGTAGTTGTTGCACCCGAGCTTAGTTGCTCCACGGCATGTGGGATCTTCCCGGACCAGGTCTTGAACCCACGTCCCCTGCATTGGCAGGCGGATTCTTAACCACTGCGCCCCAGGGAAGTCCCTATAAAAATATTGAATCACTATGTTGTACACCTGGAACTAACTAATATTTTAAAACAACTATACTTCAATAAGAATAAATTAATAATGAAAAATAAACATTACCATGTTGGAATTAAATCTATGCACTATGAAGTGTTAGACTCAGTTTTAACAGTCTCTGTATGTTTGGTCAAGGAGAAGAGAAAAAACACTCCAGATGGTCCATGACAGGAAAGACAGTAGAGGGATGCTGGGCTACTCAAAGCAGGAGTACACAGGTGGATCTCTGTAGTCACTTCAGAAAATACTTCTAACAGCATAGTAAATTATTGTGCCCAATTTAGTAAGCAATATTTTTATCCATTTAGTAAATTTTTGGATAGCTTGATAGTTAACTTCTTTTTGGGAATCTGACATCAATCTCAAAAATAGAACAATGAAAGATATGCTGTATTGATATGGGACAATGGGTGTGGTGTTCACAGGTACAGCATGTATGAAAAAGATGTTCTGAACCCCAAAATGAACGGGGTAACTTAAACCATGATCTCATATCATTGTTGGGAAGTGGTTATCATTTCCCCTGTGATTACAGAGACTGTTCTGCATGAGGAATTGATATTATCTGGGAAAAAGTTATAAAATTCAAATTATAGAAAGCTATTAATGACTATGTAGTGATTCAGAGATTGTGTCAGAAACGTCTCAGAGAAAGTATCAGTGTATGGTAAAAAGGTGAAAATCTTAGAGAAGTTTTAGCAGTGATGTCTGAGAAGAGGTACAATTAAGTTGAACATGTGACTAGAACAATCTCTCTGAACACTGTCTCCAAAATGTGATTCGTCTTCATGCTTGAAGTCATTATGCAATATGAGCGTTCAGGAAAAGTTAAAGGGGACATTGAGAGTACATGGAATTGCAAAAATACACAGGGAAACTGAAGCCAAAGTGTCTCGTTTAGTCACTGTTCTGGCAAATGATCAATGAGTAAATATTTGGCTTCAAGAACTTATTGTAGATGCGTGGGAGACATTGGGATACAAAAGCGACAAAGACTCCTACCCTTCTAGGGGTTATATTATATTCAGGAGGACACAGGAATCATGAAAGCAGAAATGTTAAGTCATATAGTATGTTCAGTGTAGGAGGCATAATGGAAAGAACATAAGGTAAATGTACTTAGAGGTAGAGTGTGGTATGCAGATTACAGAGCTGAGTAATCACTGCGCAGAAACGTGAAGGAGATGAGGAAGAACTATATGGGAATTTTGGGAATAAATTCTAGCCAGAATAAGCACGTGGCTAGATAGCTTTGGTGGGTGGAGCCTCACAGGGCTCCTTGGCAGTGGAGGGCCTGGCTAGGACTTTAGCCAAGTTGGCCATTAGCCGGACTTGCTCACTGCAAAGACACTCAGGGGATGTGTGAGAAACCTTGGCTCCGCCTCTGGGCGTCTGCAGACTTCCTCTCTGGTGGATTGAGTCCTGGAACCAGGAAACGTAATTTTTCAACGAACCCTGGTTTTCAAGTCTGATCCCTGGACCTTCACCATGAAACGCTCATTTTCATTTCAAAACCCAACCTAGTGAAGCAGACATTTTGTGGGTCAGGCTCTAGAATCTGTGTTTTAATAATCTTCCGGGTGATTCTGATACATTTTCAAGAATATTCCATTGCACCATTGAAGTTTCTGTGGATCAGGTCACTGTGTTTCTTGCAATAACAGAAGTCCCCCTGAATCACTATGCTGTACATCTGGAACTAATGTAATGTAAAGCTACTTTCTCATTTTACACCCAATATTTCCTGATACTTCCTTCTCTCAAAACCTTGTAGACCTAAAGCTACCTCCTTTTAAAGACTGCTTTGCATTTTGTCTTCTGCATGTACCATGGCTGGCCAGCTGCTGTGAGCTCATGGCTCGTGGCTACTCTCGCTTCTCAGTCCCTGTATGGGCCCTTCTCCAAGGCCAAAGAAAGTTCTTCAGAGGTGACCAGAGTCCTCAAGTGCCAGTCCAATCCCAATGATGTTCCCTATGGGCAGAAAAACCAGGCCAAGTATTGATGGCCTGAAGGTCTAGAGGCTGATAATTATGTCCCAGGAGTCAGGTCCAGCTGAGGTTACAAATGTGGAGTCCAAGAGGCCACCCCCTGACCAGAGGGCAGGCCCCTGAGATGGCAGGGACACGTGTGCAAGAGAGGGGCCAGCATTGCTTAGGTGCTACATGTGGGGAATCAGCTTCTGGAGTAGGAGGGAGTGGGGTCTCAGGTTTTGAGCCAGAGGTGAGGACATTGCCTCTGGAGGGGGAAGCTGGGATGCAGTGACTACTGGCACCTGTCCATACCTGACCTCTGATTCAAGAGCAAGGGTCTCTGCCCCTGGGAGGTCCGGCCTGAGGTTTCAGAACACCTCTGCCTGGGTAGGGCCCCCTGAAAAGATGCAGCCACGGAATTTCCAGCTGCCTCTGCAGCCCTGGGCTCTGAGCTCTGCTCCCTACACCTCTGCTTTCTGGGCTCCATTTCCCCGTGCAGGTTTAGAAAGTGCCCTGGCAGGAGGATGGGAGGATGCGACCTCACCCACTGTGCCGTCCTTCCCTCAAGCTCACAGCCCCGTGCTGTGTGCCATCCCACTCCTCAAAGCAGGAACTCCGCGTATTTTGCCACTTTTATAGTCGTTTATGGTAGGGGTGTAAGTCAGTCTGTTACTGTATCACAACCAGAACCTACAACACACTTGAAAAAACCCAAAGTGGTTCTGAGGGTTTCAAAAACTAAAACTCAGTGTAGGACTTTATTAAACACTTTTACAAATTGGAGTTAGGTTTTGGAATCTAACAGACGCATCACAAAATATACATCTCCAAACCCAATTTCCTTATCGTTATGTAATAATAAGCTGACTTACAGTTATGAGAGATTTCCCAAGTGACACTGATCAGGACGCTAGCCATATCCTCTGAAGGTGAACGTTTTTAATTTTCATTTTGTTGCTAATGTAGAACCCACTGACAGATAGTGTAAGAAGAAACACGTGCAAGGATTGCAAAGAACAGAGAATGGAGAGTTAGAAGCAC